TGATGTCTGGAGCTGAAGCAAAGCAGACTCCCTTTGGAATTTAAAAAAAAAATAAAGCACCAAATACCTTTCTTTTACTGACGTACAAAAGATATATAGAGGATAATGAAGAATTTTGCTAAATTAAAATTTTTGTTAATATATGAAACAGGAATAATAATTATAAAAGCTGTTGGTAAGAAATGTATGAAAGACCAGATAAACAGATTTGATACAGTAGCCTGTTATCATGCAATTCTGTGGTAACAAAATGGAGTCCTTTCTCTTGCTATTTCGGTCAGATAGCTCCAGCCTGTGTCCTAAATCTTAAATGAGCCAGGAAACTGATTTTCTGTTTCTTCAGCTAATTAATTACCACCTTTTTGAAAAAAAGATTGCAATAAAAATGTATTACTGGCTATCTACATGATGACATCTTCCATTCATTTTTTTCCTAGTTTTCAGAGGAAGGCATAGAAAAGTAGGAAGGCTAAGGTTTTAAGATAAGTGTGCTGGAGTGTGCTGGAGAAGCTAGATTGTTAGAGATGTCCGAGTTGCTCATATGAGATGAACCATTGGAACCATTTCATTGCAAAGAAAGCTGAAATGATGGCTTATTTCCTTAAGGGTTCTCCTCTTGATAAGATATCATGGGGTGTCAGTATAGGGAAAGTTATTTTAGGTATCATTCTTCATTTTTAAACTTTTACTTAAGAACTAAATTTTAATAAATGATGTCTGTTGTTGAATCACTGAGTCCTTATAAGTAGAAGAAACGTGTCTCAAAGGCATGAAAAAGTATTAGTTAAATGTGTAAGGCAATATGCAATTTTGAGAGAATAAATTATTGTAAAAGATTTGTCAGCTAAAAAGCTATTTTAAAGGTTTACTATTACACAACTTCAACTTTTATATTTCATTAGATGTTGGAGCCTAGGTGCTATATAGACAAAATGAGCATTTGAATGTATTGCGGGCTAGATGCAGCGACAAAATTGCAAACTGAAGGCAGAGTGAATGAAAATAAATTATGAAATGATTAAAGCTTCAGTTTGGGTTACCATACTTGTCTTCTAAGATGTGAGTACACTTAATTGCTGCCAAAAAAATGTTCTGTTCCCAGTCTTGCTCCTCATCTCCCACCTTTTGCAAGCTGTAGTGCTTGCCAAGCCCAACCTTGAGGTGATTCAACTTGTAACTTGTGAAGTCATCAGCAAACTTAACACAGCCCTCAAAATAGAGCCATTAGCAAACAGAGTTGCTTGATAAACACCAAAGGTGATAGAACAGAGGAAGTTGTATGTTGTGAGCAGAGGGAGGCCAAGACAGCAGGAACTTCTCTCTTAGCAAGCCAATGCTGTCCTGAGCACTAACTTGTGACTTCATCATCTGTGGCCGTTGCCCTTTTCAAAGTAAACAGGAAAGCAATGACATGAGAAACTCAACATGTCTGAGGAAGATCAGATAAATTTTATACATGATAGGTCATTATTCACAACTACTGTTTTTTTCAGAGTTCTGGGTGTGGACTAAGCCATATTGAAATCTTTAAGTTATGTAAATGTGTTAGAGTTTTGGTTTATTTGTTCTGGGACTTTTTAGAGAGAGAGATGTTGGTTTAATCTGTGGTGTAGGGCTTTTCCTGGCACGCACATATCTAGGTAAAAGGCACTTTTGTGTCTCTGCTAGATATTGCAGAAAAGGCATACTCATGCATTGCTGCTGACTGTCACTTTGTCTTTTCTGYCTTCAGTAGCACAAGTACTACAATTTGGTCTACTTTATTTCTATGCTTTCCACATATATTACTCTCTTTGAATATTCCAGGTCTGTCTGGTGCTGGGAAGACTACAGTGAGCATGGCACTGGAGGAATATTTGGTATGCCATGGCATCCCGTGCTACACGTTGGATGGTGACAACATTCGCCAGGGCCTTAATAAGAATCTGGGCTTCACACCGGAAGATAGAGAGGAAAATGTCCGTCGGATTGCTGAGGTTGCTAAGCTGTTTGCAGATGCCGGTTTGGTGTGCATCACTAGCTTCATCTCTCCCTATACCCAGGTGAGTGCCCTGCTGTGTTCTGGTCTTGCGCTACTGCTGTGCATTGTTGCACATGTGTGTTGTAAATGTGAAAACCCACTAGCTAGAGCATGGGAAAACACCAAAGGAAAACATCACTTAAGCTTGAATTCTAGGCATCTGTCACGGAACTTAACTGTGATGAAATGCTTATTTTCTTGTTTGTGGCATCTGTAATTTGTGAAGATAATTACTCACGTTTCAGAGAAGTTAAGCTTAGTCTTTGCTATCTGTAAATTCAAACTGCCTTTTAGCCTGTTTGGTAAAACTGCAGGTTAGGATCAAAAGCAAAAGATACTCTTAAGACTCTAAAATTGGGAGGAGAGAAAAGGATGTATGAACACCAGGCATCTTGAAAAGTGACTGGGGACTGTAGCTCACCTGTTGTGCTGCATGAGAAGATGACTTTGGGTTTGGTGGCACAAGCAGTTCTTCAGATAATATTTCRGAGACCCTGAGCTCCTCTAGTTAAGTAGAAGTCTTTAGAGGAGAAGTACTGAATGTGGTGAGAGATGGCTTTAGTATTTTGGGTTTATGAATATTGTGAGTATCGTTAACTGTTTCTGCACTTGGCAAACAGTACAAATAGTTCGGAGTGTGCGAGTCTTGTCAGACTAATGAATAGTGTTTTTTTTTTTTTAAAAAAAAAGGGTATCCTGGGGTCAAGAGTGGTCATTGTGAGATGCAAATAGTATCAACTTTGACTTCAGTGAGCCAGACAAATGTAACTGTGAGGAGTGTAACTCCTAACATTATGGCAGGTATTGAAAATTCTGCAGTATTTAATTGTTATTTAAAAAAAAAAGTTAATATCTTTGATCTTGAGTTCAACTTTACCATATGACAAACTTCAGTCAAGCTGCAGTGTTATCGGTATATCAAATCCAGATTTTTCTCTCTCTCTGTCTCAGGCTTTGAGAGTTTGCTTGCATTTTACTATTGGCTTTAAAATTAATTCTGAAAGCMGAAAGAAAATAAAAACATGAGGGCATTTTTTTTTTTTTCATTCAGGATCGTAATAATGCCAGACGAATTCACGAAGGTGCAAGTTTGCCCTTTTTTGAAGTATTTGTGGATGCTCCGTTGCACGTCTGTGARCAGAGAGATGTTAAAGGACTGTACAAGAAAGCCAGGGCTGGAGAAATTAAAGGTGAACATAGATGTAGTCACATTCTGCCTGTATAATGGGGTATTGTAGTTAAACTAGTAAATGGATGCGTTGAAGTTTGAGGTGTACCACCCTGAGAAGTAGCAAGGATGAATCATAGGGAGACAGTTTGAGGTTACAAGGATATTGTACCTTACAGAGTCATCATTGGTGCTGTGGAGSTTCTTTAACTGCTCTTGTTAATTTTATCAGCCCCCTTACGGACCTGTATTACTTTAGAGGTGGTGGTGAGAGAGAATCACGCCTAGGTAAGTTATAAGTGGAAATAGCAATTRCTGTGTCCTACAACCTAGTTAATCTGTAAAGGAAGAAACGTAAATGACTGTGCCCTCTCACAAGGAGTGCCAGCAACTATATTATCTTCCTTTCCTTTAGACCAGGTAATATGATAGTTTCTTTTCTCCCACCTGTCACTCCCTCCAGTCATCAGATAAGCTTAAAGCATACAATTTTAGGAGCAGATACTGGCTTTTTTTGTAACGTTCAGTATTGCAGCAAGTTGATCTTTTCACAGGTGGAGAAATATACTAATAATTTAGAAAATATTTGAGTCTCAAGTGCTTTCATGCTTTACTGTCTGSATTTACAATTGAGAATACAAAAATTTGTTTTCAGCAGTCTAGATGATATATTTGATATAGATTGATATAGATTTGATATAGATGATATATACTGATAYTACAGAAGTGATCCTGTAGTACTTGTATGCTTTGCTTTTGCTTCCTTGGAAGTTTAAGTGGGCTTAATTTTTTCCTCATGTTTTTGCATAGGTAGCTAGGAATTCCTTCTTTAAAGATTACTAGCTAAACAGGATGAACAGCTGTCATTGGTAGTTTATATGGGTTGGGATAAGAGTAATAATTATGTAATAATCTCATGAAATACTTCCTTGCCTTAACTAGTTATGTTAGGTTGGCTATACTTGCCAGACTAATRGATGCCAAACTAATATAATAGATGTAAGTCCTTACTCTTCTGAATTGGTACTGCTTGGTGGCCTGAGCAAATATTTTACCAATTGTTCAAAAATTTGGCTTGGTGCTTAAAAAACGATCAGAGCTAATACCGAAGGACAGCTAAAGGATGTTTATCTACTAACTCTGGGTTGATCTGCAGAGTTTTTACCTTTTTTACTGCTACTTTCTTTATTTTGTTGTATAAAGATAAGAACTTCAACAGCAAAAATATGCCCTGTGTGTACTACAGAATAAAGTTATATGAAGTGATACTGYAGGGCTAGCCAGTGGTTTGATAAAACTTGATTTCAGTAAGAAATCTTGTGTCAAGGAAGCTAAAACACTTTTCTCTGGCCTGCTGTATTTTTTTTCTATCTAGAAGATTGTGTATGAACAATATTAAGATGCAGTCTGTCTTCTAGAGGAAGTGATCTAAGACTATGTTCTCTTCTGCAGGTTTTACCGGGATTGATTCAGAGTATGAAAAACCTGAAGCCCCTGAGCTTGTGCTGAAAACTGATTCTTGTGATGTGAATGATTGCATACAGCAAGTTGTGGAGCTCCTTCAAGAAAGGGTGAGCTGAAATAMAGTTATGTCCAAGTGTGTGTATGTGTGTATATCTCTATATACTTTTTTCCTCCAAAGCATTAGCATTTTTTTTCCAAACCTGCATGTACAAGCTGGGAAAACCAGAGACAATTTTTTGATTAAAAGTATACATTTTAATATTCAGATTCTTAAACTCATCCAATTGTGTGTTTCGTTTTTAAACGTAAATATTGCAACAACATTAGATAACATAACTGAAGTAAATTTTTGACTTTTTCCTTTTGGAGGAAAAATAATTTGTTTTCATTGTCCTAACAGATATTTAGGACAGAAGGATGTTGTAGTTGTTACAGAATTGATGGTGTGTGCTGACTTTTAAAAACCTCAAAAATTTTAATTTAATTTGTCTACAGCATAYGTATATTAATAACATATACTGGAAATTGGTAAAGACCAGTGATGCAGTTCCACAACAGCTTGGATTGATACAAGAAGAGGCTGCTGTGGTTCTATGCATTTTCCTTTGTTTATACATCTTTCCTTGCACTAGTAGAAGTGCTCCTGTGATTGTGTAATTGCCTGTTCAGGAAGCTGATCTTCCTGACACGGCTGAGTTGGCTTACTGCTTCTAAAAAGGTAAGTCTGTTTTTTCTCTCCTACCTGCCCTTCGCACCTCCCCTTTTCGAGCTCTTGATGCTCTTCCTCTCAAATAATAAGTGGCTTCAGTTGGTTAATGCAAACTTAAAGGAGGGGGCGGGAGGGGGAAAGGTAGAAAGGTAGTCATGAGGTGGCTTTATGCATCTGAAACAACTGTGCCTCCAGTACTTTTTTCTTTCTTCTTTCCTTTCCGTTCTTTGTAAGTCCTAATTATCTCCTAACTTGGTTCACTGCATAGCCACATGAAACCTACTGATGAATCAGAGAACAAGGCAGTGATGTGGTTAGGAAGTGAGCAGGTGGCACTTTGATTTAGATCAGGTTGCATCACAGTGTTTCTCACCTCACCCTTATAAGTGTGGATACAAACACCAATAAAATAAAACTGACTGAATGAAGAAACTATACTTTGCTGAGCTTTTAGCCTTGCTCTTTTGCCAGAGGTTGCTACCCACATGGAGATGATTATTGACATTTATTAAATATGTTCTAACTGCTGCTATTAACAGCCTAATGTATGCAAGTGTAATTAACCACGAGTGATGTGTAACACATTCATTAGTATACTGGTATCTATTGAAAATTTCAAAGCTTTCAGACTGAAAAGATCACCAGGTTAGCGGATGGGTAGTTTTACTTTTAAATGGGAAGGACTTTTATATGCTTTTCTGCCTTTCATGGAGGAGTATGGTGTCTCTTCATGTGAAGAAGAGCAGGCAAGTCATGGTTATGACAGCTGGGACTGTGAGACTTTAATTTACCTCCCTTTTCTAATCCTTCCCCTTTTAGGAAGGAACTTGTAATTTTTTATCTAGAAGAAATTTGTCTCCCTAAATAGTTGTTTATAGCCAGTCAAGAGGGAGATTGCGTTTCAGAGCATGATTTTAACCCAGACTGTCTGACAAAAATACTCACTTTCTTGATAAGGTGAGTTTTCTGGCAGTTATTATACAGACAGTAGATTGGGAAACCTGCAGCAAATGTTGAAGTGGGTACAAGTAAACAGACCTCATTATGTAGCCCATATCACGTTCATCTTAGAGTTCAGTGGAAGTACAGCTCTAGAGAGATTCAGTCTCTTGTAGCTAAATTAAAAGAGCTCCTTAAACAGGTCAGTGTTTGCTCAGGAGGTCTGACGCACAAAATGGCAGCAGTGTGCCAAACTTGTGCCTAATTCCCTTTTGGAAAGGGAAGGGAGAGAACAAGTAGTCCTATGTGTGGGACATGTTAGGCTCTATGGAAAGTCCTGAACCTGCTGCTCAGAAAGGCAATTGTTTTAAGTTTCGTAATTGTAGAAACCAATGTCACATGTGCCAAAACTTTGTACRCAATGCTGAATGATGGCTTCTGGCCATTAGATATGCCTTGTCCTTTGCTTAAGGCGTGTTCTAGCTTTTTTTTCCCCTGCCCTTCTTAGGGTAGCACCATGGATAACAAGATGTCTTAGTGGTTACTTTCTTTAATGGGAGAGAATGAAGCCAAGCTATGACTGAGCAGGCRTATCTTTTCAGATCATGTATAACCAACTGACAATGTAATTTCCATAGATGTGGATTATCATTAGCTAAATATAGCTGCATATATGTATGTATAAAATAGGATCTCTCTCAATGCACACACATAATATGTAGCATATATACACATATCAGTAAGCATAGTCAGATTTTAAAATATTCTATCATTTTTCTATCAAATATTTTGTATTGAGAGTCTTAAACTTTTTTTAACCACTTTAATGTGTCAGTGTTTGCACTCTTATTTTATTCAGTCAAAAGAGCAAATGAGGTGTTTGGCACTCACTCTGCTGATACTTTCCAGTGGAGCGAGGCAAGCCTTGTGTGGATGTTCTGCTCCGGGGATTTCAGTGTTTTCCTATGTGTTTCTTTTGTAAACAAATGCAGTTGAGCCAGCACAAAAGTTGTATTGCATAGTAATGAAATAAGTTAATTTTTTAACCAGTGAAATATCATCAGAGGAAATMATAATTTCTGAGCAACCTACTGTTTTAGGACTTGCTTTGAATAAGAGGATAGGCTAGGCGTCTAGAGGTCTCTGTGCTTCTTTGACAGGGTTATTGTTTGTGTGTGTAAGAATGGGGAAAAGCATCTTCTGCGTGAAGAATATATAAGACTCTACTAGTAATGTTTTACTTCTGCACTGAATATTTGAACACAGAAGAATAATTATGCAAGCCAGAATAAGCAGAAAACAGTCCAAGTAATTCAGTGGCTTTGCAACACTGTTCGCTAGTATAAGTTGGATGATATTTATGCCCATATACTGGGAGTTAACGTGAAGGGTGTTTCTTTACTGACTTTATTAAGCACATTAGCATCAGCAGAGAATGCACTGCTAAAATTTGACAAGGCAGAGTGTTCTTATAAAAGCCTCTAGCTTATTTGTATTGCTTTGTAATATATTTGCAGTTATTTATATCAGTGCACTGAGAAATACTAAGTATTGAGGAATATTGTGTAGTTTAACCTTTGGTTAAATGATCCTTTTGATGGAATGATCCTTTGAATAAAGTAACCGCCTTAGCTTGGTCACTAGATGGCCTGCTAGCATAGCCTTTTCCTAAAATTCATRCTTTTGCAGACCTATGGAATCTTCCTGCTGGCATTGTTAATCCAAAGTGTTTTTTAAATATAGTTTCTATGCCTGCCATTGACCGTTGATTTACTAATCCTGCTAGCTCCAGATGCTCAATGATGGAGCTGCAGTTTTCTCCACAGCTATGCCCATAAATGGAGCCCTAGAAACAAGCTACCATCTGATGAGATCTCTGTATTAGCTTAATTTAATTTAAAGCTTTTGATGAGTTATAAAACTAGGACATTATGCCACAGAAATTAACTGTATTCCTTGGTAGAATCTTCAGTGAAATGGCATGCCAAGTACAATGTGTGCTTMATCATTTTTGATCACATGTCTACCATTTTTTAGAGGCGGTAGTAGTTGATTTCATGTCTGGACTTAGTGCTGTGGCAGGAGTCTCCTATGGCTCTCCTGGGCCATAATYCTATTTTTCAGACGGAGACAGTAGAAAATGACTTTTGCCTTGCTTACAGTCAGATAAAATCACCTTTGCAAATGAGATCTGGTAGATAATGGATTGAACTTGTCCTCATGAAACAATTTCTAAGTGCTAGTTAAATTTATTTTTCTTTATTTGYCTTTGGAGATATGATTTGCCTAGCGGCTGGGTTCATCGGCTCTTTTTATTCCTATAGTCGTCTTATCACCTGGATGTTTACGTTGTTCTGCTTTCTTTGTTTTTCTTTCCATAGAGGCAGTGCCTTATGACATAYTACCTTTAAAATGCTTGGATAAACTTTGTGTTTCCTTGGGTACAGGCATACCTCTTTGTTTTACTTTCCRTGGAGGTAGATGGAGGGAGTGGCTTGTGAATGATACATTGCTTTTAAAAAGGTTGGACAAACTTCATGTTTCCTGTGGTACATGCGTAACTCGCTCTCTATGTGCTGCATTTACTGAAAAAAATAAAGATGACTTCTGTGTTTTTGTTTTGGGTCTGTGTGTTATCTTACTGTAAGTATAAGGTGTTTCTTTTCTTTTTTTTTCCCCAAAARTAAAACTTTATAAAAGGTAAAACTTTACTTTATAAAAGGATTCAAAAAATCTTAAAAGCATAGCTGTTTTTAAAAGCAGATGGTTTTTCTGTTTTTCTTTCTTTGCTCCTGAATATCACTGAAAAGGTTGAGTAGCCTTTGTTGGAGTAGAGTCTATAGAGGTTTACCATGAGTTTCCTTGCCTTTTTTAATATTCTTTCTGTGCGTTGGAGTGTTCGTTTCGATCTTGGAGTAAGACTGTTTAAAACCAAAGTAAGAAAGCTGAAACTTTCATACATGCAACTGATATACTGGTTATAAAAGTAGATTTCTGTTCACTCTGTATCTAAGCGTACTTATAAATTCCTGCATTTAAATGTTTCCATTAAGTGTTATTTTAGGGATTGGATGGTGGTGGTATGTTCATAGCTGTAGGTAATGCCTTCAATTCATACTTCTGCGTTAAAGTTCAGTTGTACGGGAGACTTTTGCCCTTCCTTTTACCATTGCTGATACAATGTAGTCAGTGTAGTCAAATACTTCACTCAGTCAAAYGCTCAGCTTAAAACACTTCTTTAGCAAATATAAAAGTATGCAGCATTTTTTTTGCTGTTTATAGAGTATGCATTAATGACTCATRAAAAACCTGCACTTTATATTTACAGGCTAAATTTTGTAAGAGTATGGAGTGCTTAAATTTTTAGAAAAAGCTTACTGTCAGGATATCTCACTCAAGCTGATCAGAAACACTGGTTGGCTAGCAGTGTATCAAAATCTTTAAGTGCTGTGTAATTTAATACAAGTTACTTAATGCATAATCTTTTACTGCAGATAAATACAACATAAATATTACTTCTTGACCATGTGTTCAGCAGCCAAGAAGCATTTCAAACAAATACTATATTCTGATTATTTTTTTAATATATACAGGATATTGTGCCAGTGGATGCCTCTTATGAAGTGAAAGAGCTCTAYGTGCCTGAGAACAAGCTGAAGTTAGCCAAAACCGATGCTGAGTCTCTCTTAACCTTGGAAATAAACAAGGTACTGGGTGCTTGGTGTTTTCATTGCTGAAACTGTAAGACAGTCTGATATGTTGCTCATCTGAAGGAAGTTTGTGTACCATTATTACTTACAAACTGCAACTTGATACTTTGATCTTCTCTTTCTAGGGGTAATTTCAATGTCTATTTACTTTGATCACTTGTTGTGTCTGAGTCTTTCCGACKGCAAAAATATCTGTCCCTTCAGATAACGTTACATAGGTTAGCCTAAACATGAAAGGTTAAATCCTTAGTGACATTTTTTTCTCGTGCATGCACTGAACTATCTYGCATGTGTTCTGAGAATAGTTGTTTGTAAAGGAGCTTAAACTTTTCTTTTTGTAAACAGTCTTACTGAGTGGAACTTAAAGCTAAGGGTTTGCTCAAGGGCCTGACTTGGCGTGGAGTTCGCATAGGCAGTAAGAGTCTTGACTCTTACRGACCAAAAGCACTTCCTAGGTGCTGAACTACATCCTTCCTCAATTTCACTAGTCTTCATCTATAAAAGGTTAATACTTCTCTCTCTTACTAGATTTCTTATGTACATATGTCTAAACCCTAGCATCTTGCTTTGCTGAGCAATAAATATTTATGATGACCAATATTAAATTTCTGTACAGTCCTAACAAGCTCTTTCTAGAAAAATAGATCTCCTTTCCCTCGCCACTAGCAAACTGTCAAGCAAATATGTGTTTTAAGCTAGGGAAGAAAATATGCATTGTAATTACTTCAGTATAACTGTGTAATAAAATTAGACATTCTCTTTGCAAAAGAGATTAGCACAAGCAAACTCTGCTCTTGTCAAAGACATCTGACTAAGTCTCAGTAATGTACATGCAGAAATAATAAAGGCCACACACTAAGTCACAGTGTGACTGTTTRAATGCCAAAGGAGGAAATTCCTTGTAAACCAATACCTCTTAAACTAAAACAAATTCTGGTCCTGGGAGGATATTATTTCTCTGTTTTCTTATAATACCTGCAGTAAAAAATCCCGTTCTAATCTATTGTAAGGCTAGTTATCTTCATATATAACTCCCTAATTCTGATATTTTTGTGATAATTGGATTTTTTTTGTTTGTCTTTTGCCTCCTGAGTAGTTTGTTTTATTAAAAGGCAAGTAGTAATCCTCAATTCTGCCAAGTTGAACTATATCAAAGCTTTGCAAGTTAAATGTACTTTTTTAGAGCCTGGAAACTTGATCTAAAGTTAGAACTGGAAAACAGCCAAAACTATATAAGGCATGAGGAAAAACGTGTTCCTTTTTTGATATTTGGAGACTTTGAGATACCTGGTTGGGATTTGGATGGCTCTGAGTATTTTTTCCATTTATTTTACAAGGTGGATATGCAATGGGTGCAAGTGCTAGCAGAGGGCTGGGCAACGCCACTGAATGGCTTTATGAGGGAGAGAGAATACCTGCAGTGCCTTCACTTCGACTGTCTCCTTGATGGTAAGGTATTGTCGCTTCTAACACTGAACAATCTAATCCTGTATTATAAAATAACATTTGTTCAGGTGAAATTGTACCTCAGATGACAAACATGTCTTTTCAACTGTTAAAATAGCTTGCAGCTCCTAATATCAACCTTAATCTTCTGTAAACCAGAATTTCTTAAAAGCTTTTTAGATCTTGTAAAGGTGAGTGTCTGAGGTGGGGCTTTATTTCAGGTTTGTCAACTTCTCTGACATCTATTTTTGTTACCTTTTAAATGCTATTAATAAAAYAGCAGTTACAGAAAATGACAGTAGGTAGTAACTGCTGGAATAGAGCAATTATACTCCTTAAATGCTGCCAGATCTCCTATCTGCAGGTATCCACCGCAAAATTTATATAAAAGAACATTTTTTGATGAAATTAGTGAGAGCATGGGTTGTCTTAAAGCTACTGTGCTACTKGAGTCAATGGCAACAGAGTTGAGTCAGCACAGTGTCCCTTCCTGCACAGTGTGTTAGTGCTGCAGTCTAAGAGCAGCAGTTGTTTCCTGGAGTTCTGATTCTGGAGAGAGGGAAGTTGTTACATAATCCTCACAGCATTTCTTACATTGGATGTTGAAAGAAATATTTGCATTGATTGACTTCTGCATCATGGAGATAAATGCAAGGGTGTAGCTATTTTCATTTTAAAGTTTTCTTAAGTGGTCTCAGCCTGACAGTCTGCTTCATCGAAAAGATATCAGTTGTGGTTTTCTGCTTGCAGTATAGCTTCTTAAATAAGCTTTTCATTATTTTGGAATCACAAAAATGTAGTCTAAAATATTTGCATGGAACTGTAAGTATTTGGTATTTTTCACTAGTGTCTTTGTTCTTTTTCAAAGCTAAGCAGTTGTAATTCTGAGGAAAATGCTTGAACATGATATAAAGCCCAGGCTGTAACTTGTTAGGAAGGTAGCTATTCATAATCTCACTGATAATTATTACTAAGGGTCAGAGCTTTTTCCCATCTGCAGGGGGTGTTATCAATCTGTCCGTGCCTATAGTGCTAACAGCTACCCAAGAAGACAAGGAAAGACTGGATGGATGTACAGCGATTGCCCTGGTGTATGAAGGGTGCCGCGTGGCCATCCTCCGTAATCCTGAGTTCTATGAGCACAGGAAGGAGGAACGCTGTGCAAGGCAATGGGGAACGACGTGCAAGGAGCATCCATATATCAAGGTGTGCTTTTAAAAGTTGAAAATGTAGTCCTGTTGTTTATCCTGTTTGTAGAACTGCAGATTAAGTGGAGATGGTGTCAGAGYTGGCAGTAGTTCTTGACACAAAGTTTCTTTGAGAAAAATATTTGAGCTGCACTTAGTGTAAAATTCTAATGTCAATATGTGCACGTGAAATGAATTTAGAGTAGTATGTGGAATCTGTGCTACAGAGGAGAGATCTTTGCCCTCTGGTGTGCTTAGGAAATACATCCCTTTGTGGACGCAGATGGATCATCAAAGCTCCTTAATCAGCAGATATACCCACTGTGAAGGCAAAAGATCTTCTCCATGCATGTGGAACATGTAAGAATTKTCTAGTTTAGATACTTTTGAAATAGGCCTTGCTTCATAATTTAACTCCCTGGGGAGTTATTTCCCCTACATTGAGCTCAGTATGTCTTTTTTTTTAATCTTGATCTTATCTGTATGCCATGTAACAATATTCTAATGAAAACATACCCTTGATATAACTGTATTTGGTTTTAAAAAGTGATGCAAATATTACATTATGACTCTACAGAGCCATGAATGCTTTTGTGTCCCTATTTATGATCTCTACCATTTTTTTTTGTTTACAACTGATTTAAAAATCAGATAAAAGGAAATGAAACTTCAAACGGTGAACTTGTTAGTATAAATGGATAGTCTTTGTGTTCAGAAAGTATGTGTATATGTGTATGTATATGAAAATTATGTGTTTTTCTTACCACTGTTTTTATTGCTATGACATTGTTTTACTAACAGAAGTTATATTCAGAAGTGTATCTGAAATAGCACATTTCTTAATAGATACAAGTAAGAATACTGAGGAATACTCTTCAAAATGCTTGATGTGTTCTGTGCTGATATGTTTAGGATGACAGTTTTGAAAGCTTAAAATAATGCAGATTTAAGAAATTCCAAGAAAATCTAATGCAGGGATAATTGAATYGACTTGTTAGAACATATTCTTTGGTTTATGCCTCTGATAAAGCAATGTGCCCACATTGCAATGCTGTAGGTATTCAGGACAAGGCAACAGTCGGCCTTAAGGAGGGCTGTCATTTCTTTTTCTAGATGGTTATGGAGCAAGGGAACTGGCTGGTGGGTGGAGATCTGCAGGTCCTTGACCGTATTTATTGGAATGATGGACTTGATCAATACCGTCTCACTCCTGCTGAACTTAGGCAGAAGTTCAAGGACATGAATGCTGGTAAGCAAGTTTTTCTTGGTTTGCGCCTTTCTACAAGAATGCATTGAACATAAAACAGGCAGGCACCTGCAGAGCACTATGAGGAAGAAGGGATTAACATGTATAATCCAAACTGGAATTGGTCCCGAGTGTCTCCCTCAGTGCAGGCAGTATTTCCAGTGTGTGCAGGTCTGCAAAACATTCTTTTAGTTGTCCAGTAAAATAAATACATTTGATACCCCCAAACCACTGCTATTTCGATTTCATTGTTCCCTAATGGGAAGCTTGTTAGTTAAGACAGTTTTCCTATCTTTAGTTTGAGTTCATTTTAGTTTGTGGAAAAGGGAGAAATCTTGGTTGTGGCAAGATTCTTATCTGGCTGGTTGGAAATGCGTTGGAATAGCAGTTTACAGTATTTTGTACTTCCTGAGTGTAAGCTCTGGTAATAATGTAGGAAGTGAAGGAGATCTGCTAAGGCACATTAAATCCCTATTGAGAGTGTATCCTTTTCGTCTCCTGATGATATGCTGGGCCCTTAATTGTTTTCTTCCTAGAATTCAAGTTGATAAGCTCAAGCAATTATGAAATCTTCAAAACAAGATTATAGTTATTGGAAAAACTAGAGTAGTCCTACAGAAAATTCAAAATTAAGAAAGCTGATATGTTTTTAGTGTGTATTTTTTTGTTTTTGCCAATTAAATAACAATGCATTATAATTCATAATCCCTTAATGACCTGTGACTAATCTACTTGTTTAGAAGGACTGAAAAAGATCTTACTGTGTGAAGATTCTCTGTGATTTTTCAACCCCTGATAAAAATAATTTGCTTTTATTTTATCTTTTTGTTTGTCTGTTTTCATAGATGCTGTCTTTGCATTCCAGTTACGCAACCCGGTGCACAACGGGCATGCTCTTTTAATGCAGGATACTCACAAGCAGCTTTTGGAGCGTGGTTACCGGCGCCCAGTTTTACTCCTGCATCCGCTCGGCGGTTGGACAAAGGAGGATGATGTTCCTCTCATGTGGCGCATGAAGCAACATGCTGCAGTCCTGGAGGAGGGAGTCTTGAACCCAGARACGACGGTGGTAGCGATATTCCCTTCCCCCATGATGTATGCCGGACCAACTGAGGTAGATATAGCAAGAGTGTTAAACCAAAAAAATGTTTTTGGTTTAACACTCTTGGTAATTTTGGTTTGGTAATATCTGTGTGTGGGTTTTTTTTTTTTTTTTAATGGACAGAGCAGATTAATTTCCCTTGGGAAATGAGACTGCAGAGGCCCCTCTGTGATCAAACAAATCGTTCTTCTGTGGAGAGAATATTGTTTTCAAGTGACCATTTTCTTTTTTTAATAAGAGTGAGATGATAATTTTTTTTGTCATTGTTTTTCYTTAAAAACTTGGAATAAGCATACCTGTTAATACTGAATGATTACCTTGAATATGAAGATGCATTTTTTTTCACTTGGTTAAGCAAAAAGTGTGTATGTGGGAGGGCTGTACACAAATTGGAAAGAAAAGGCTTTGTTTATTTTTTTGGCAAACTTAATCCACAGAGAATTGTTTCAAGACTTTTGAATGAAATAATTCTTTGGCAACTCCTTATTTAGAAAMCAGAACTTGAGTTGGAACAGCGAGACGTTGTAGGAGGCAGTTAAGTGAATAAATGTTCGGGAATGATTGATTTAGGGGATATTGTTTCTATATTTCGCCACCCTTTCTGCCGCCCCCCCCCACCTCCCACCACCACTTAGGTCACAGGAAGTTCAAATTCTGACCAGGCTTAGAAGGTTGACTCTGTGATGGCTTTTTGATTGATAGATAATACCAGTAGTGGAAAAAAATCAGGCTTAATTTTCTCTTGGTTGGTTGAGCAGGCAGAGCCTGTGTTGCCCCTCGAGGGCAGAGAAAGAATGTAGTTCAGATCAGAGTAGAGGCATGCAAGTGGSTTACTGTGGGAAATTTTGTTCCCTTTCTCATAGATGTTTGAGAAATAACAGAAACCTTCTCCTTTGGTTGTGTATAACACCTTTCTCCAGAAAAAWATTTTTTAGTGAATTTTGGTTCCCTTTGGTTTCTTATCGATGCTGTAAGAGTTTGGAAGTGTTTGAGTTGAATGCTACTGTATTGTAGAGGAATCATATCTCAGTTAAGTTGCTGATGAATAGAGAATTTCTGTTCCTTTCAGTTTTATAGGCATACAAGAAGGAACCCAGTCCTAGTCTTGAACAGAATGAGAAATTTCTCCTAATTTGTTTGGCATTTCGAATGACCTCAGAAAACAGGCAACCAATAATATATTTTAGCAACATAATAAAAAGAAGACTCATCTTTTATTCATTTTCCATAGACTGTTCAAAACACATATCAGATATTTCTATATCACAAATATTTATAGAATAAAAAGCAGCTATTAAGCCAGTATGGTTATCAACAGGAGGGAGAAGACTTTCAGTTTGTAAAAACTTAATGGTTGTGTTTTGTAAGTTTCAATTGTTTGGTGTTTTTTTGTTGCTTGTTTTTTAAAAATATTCTCAGTAGTTACTTAAAGGAAAATATATAAGTATAAAAGGCAAAAATCTGCATCAAAATGTGGTAAATTTACCATCTTTGGAAGGTAACCAAGTTCTGATGTAGTTTGGAGGCAGAGAAACTGGAAAAGAGCTCCTGGTTTTGTTATTAACTCAAATATATGGGTTACATAGTTCTGAATTGTCAGAAAGTCGAACATCATCACTTAAAACTCAGTTCTTGCTCTGACCCAAATGACAGCATGAATCCTACTTTTTCTTAATTCTGCTAGAATCCTTTGGGAGAATGTGCTAGTAGCTGTAGTGTCATGCTGACGTTGTGTAGAACTCCCTGTTTATGGCATAAATRTTAAAATGGTCAGCTTGGGTATCAGAATCCAGATACTTTCATAGCACCCASTTCACTTGGTCAGCAGTGGGATCTGTCATGGGTAATGTCTAGATGTAGTCAAGATGTAACCTGTTACCAGTGGTACCTTTTAACAGAATTAAGCAGCAGGAAGAGGTAGTGGCTGCTGATTTGCAGACCTTTGCTGACAATAACTGGAAAACTTCCTTCTTGAATGCTCTCTGTTACTGAGGCTGGTTCCTACTTTGAGAAGTCAATTTCTGAGCTTCTTGGCTGAAGTTTGTTAACATAGAACAACATACGCGATGACTAAACTGCAAAGCATTCTGATCTTTAAAATATTTGCAATAGAAAGATGCTTATAGGTATCTTCAACAGTAAATTAACTTCAGCTTTCCTTCCATTGGGGGGAATCAATGGATGAGTTTATAAAGTAATGGTAACAAACTTCTGATAATAAATATTTTGTTCTGCAGTTTGTTCCTTCATGGCTCCTCTTTTTTGTTAGTACCTAGCAGTTGTTTTACTGAAGATCTTGTAATTACTGTTCGACTCGCCCAACTGTTTTATGCTATGCAGTTATTAAGTAGGCTCTTTTTTTTCTGTGGACATAAGGCTACATATTCAATCAAGTATAATGAGCTTGGAGTTCTTGCTGCTTGACTGGTCCTGCACTGGGGCCTCCAATAGACAGAATGTTCTGTTTAGTGCTGTTCAGTTCAAGTATTGCAAGAAAACGTTGTGCCATGGAGCCGCTCACATGTGTATGCATGTGTGTACATTTCATATAAATATTTATTGGAGGCTATTGAATTTCCTGCCCTGAATTGTGATTAGAATGAGTAGTACAAATAAATATRTTTGCAAATATGTATACCTATATATTTCATTAATGTTAAAAAGATGATCTGTTTTGTTAGTGTCTTGTATTTCTGAGGAAACTTCTGATGGGTTAGTCAAAGGCTATTAAATAGTCTAGCGAATTACATCTATATACTTGCTGATTTTTAAATTCTTCTGAGTACTCACTGTCAGACRGTAAGTATTGAGCTATACTGATAGAGGATATTTACTTTTAGTGAATATTCACTACTCTGAGGGGGAAAAAATGATATTTTCTGAAATTATCTGTTTTTGTTACCTAAGATAACATAATGGCTACTTTGCTTTTTCTATGCTGTACAACTTAAATATTCTGCTGAAAGTATTACAACTAAAAATGAAGTAAGAAAAGTCACCTATAGTTCTATAACTTAGTCTAAACTTAAGTCTAAAAATTGTGGATTGTAGGCAGAAAAAAATCAGGTCCAGAAAGACCTTGCTCAGTCTTGGCTGTGATTTGCCCATAGCAAGTTGGATGCCTTTCTGTTTATGGAGGAATGTAGCTACCCGCATTCCAGGCTAGTGTAGATAATGAAAAGGCTCCTATGAAGACCTATTGTAGCTTCCCTGTGCAGCCACACAAGGTCTACCCATCCTTTGGGCCGGAGACAGGCTGAAATGCTGAAACTCCATTTGAGCAGCATACTTAGCATCTATACCAGTGTTGATGGGGAGAATCAGCTGTTTCCAAAGGCCTGGACTAGATAAGAGGGGAGGGATGTATGAGTTGCATTTGTGGTCATGAAAATATCAAGCCATTTCTCTGCAGTCTGAGGAAATCTGAATCTGAGGTAACATTGCGACCACTATACTGTGATTATTGCGACCACTATACTGTGATTATTGCGACCACTATACTGTGATTATTGCGACCACTATACTGTGATTATTGAAATATTGTGAAATGAAAAGATTTTAGGGGGTTTTAAATCTTTATTAAAACATTACTAATATTGTAGTGTTTAGGACCGTGTTAATGTAGCTGGTTCCACGTTCTCAAGATATGCAGTTCCAAACACTATACTAAGATGACTTCTTGTGAGCATTCTAATGTGCAGAAGAAACGGGAATCGTACGTCTCAGCTCTAAGTTCAGAGACATTCCTTTCGGTGTGGCTACATTGTAAAAGCAGTTTTAGTCTGTTTGAGGGGGAAAAAGTGGTTAATTATATAGTGCATACACATATTAACGGTCATATTTTACCCTTTCTTTTGTTTTCTGTGTTCTAGGTTCAGTGGCACTGCAGATCACGGATGGTTGCAGGAGCCAACTTCTACATTGTAGGGCGAGATCCAGCGGGAATGCCGCACCCTGACACTGGGAAGGATCTCTACGAGCCAACCCATGGTGCCAAAGTGCTGACAATGGCCCCCGGCCTCCGAGCGCTGGAAATTGTGCCCTTCAGAGTTGCAGCTTATAATAAGAAAAAGAAGTGTATGGACTATTATAACTCTGAGCAGTAAGTTGTGTTTAAGTTTTAAGACGTAACAGGCATTCTGAGCAACATTGGCCTTTTTTTTTTTTTTTTTTCCCTTCCGCTAGGTTGGTCTTACAATGCTTGTTTAGTCATCAGTTAAATTGTTAGCTATGTTGTTCAGAGATCAGTCTTTAGATGGGTCTTCAGATTACTAAAGCAGCTTGACTGCAGAATATGGGTACAGTTTCATAGCACAACTAACCTGATTCTACTTTAGCTATCACTGAAAGCTACACTTTTCTTCCCAGGTGCAGGAGTTTGGTTCTGAACTGCAGGCTGAGGGACATTACCAAGTTTCTCTTGGTCTTCAGCTGTTTGTGCTACAGTTACATTGAGCACAGAGGTCTCCCGAGAGGTTGCTGTGGACTGTCATCCATTTTTTGAGTAGCCCCTGGAAGTTTTCCGCATTGTGCAGGATAAATAGATCATGATGTAATTTTTTTTTTTTTTTTTTGGTAAGGGTGTTTTGATTTGAACTTTTTTCCCCAGTTCTTCCACTCCCACTGCTGTGGAACACAAAACCAACTGCCCTTCACATGCCCCAGCACTATCAGAATGCAGGGCCGTTTTGTTTTTCTCCCCGCTAGATACTGTTTGCAGGGTGGAATATGACGACYATCCTCTAGATGGCAATACAGACACATGCAGCCTGCAGGAACAGAGCTGCTGTTGCCACTGCTCGTCCCAGGCAGCACACAGTGCTGGGCTCCAARGAGCTGGAGCTTGGGTGGCTGCAGCTGGCTACATCTCAAGATAATCTGTGTGATGGTGAAAGTGCAAGAGACTCTTGGACCATGTGGTGGTTGTCTCTGTAAGGAGAAAGACAGGGAATAGAGGGTTGTTTGGAAACATGAGAGGATCAGTAGTAGATGATGACTCTATGTACTATGGTACAAAAAACTACTGTTAAGTCTTTTCTGTGTTTTCCATCTATTTGGTGAGAAAGACAACATTAGTTTTTTTTCTGAGTGGAAAAAATGTTTGCAGACTTGACAGCCAGCTATACAATTCAGAAATTTATGTTCCTAATAAGGGTTTGGGAGATTATAACAGCATTTCTTTTATGAATACTTGGGCCATCGCTCTGCTGTATGGCAATATTTGGCTGCTGTGGTACTATTTTGGAACTGAAGTCACGTGGCAGCAGGTACATCTGCAAGCTCACCTTCMTGTAAGGAAAGGCAAGGATAACCTGCTTGCATTCAGGGCTAATCAGGTAGCATTGTGAGTGAGGATGGAGGTAAGAAAAAGACYGAGAAAGCCTTTCTGCTAGCTGGTGCAGTCACAGAGCTGTGCACAAAGCTTTATTTTCTGTATGTTCTATTTTATTATAGTCTCTCTGTTAAAAGTTAAGATCTATGAACCATCAATRAATTAGGCTACTTTAGTATTTTAGCTCATGAGACCACAATGATTTTTAAATTTTATGTGGTATATTAGAGCTAGGCTTAGCACTTCATGGAACCACAGGCTTGAAAAGACACTTGAAAACACTGTGTCTAAACCTAAGATCCAGGAAACTTGAGATTTGAAAAATTAATTTTAAGTGGTGTGCTAGCCCAGATAGAGCTAACTTTCTCTTTATCCAAACTAGGATAATAAATAAAAAGCCTATCATTATTATTATTATTATTATTATTGCTCAAGTCAAAAAGTTAATCTAAGTTCCTGTAGGACACTTGAGCATTTCCACTTCCACAGAAATTGGAACAAATAGTACAGTAGTATGAGTAGAAATTATATTGTACATAGTGGTCTCTGGCTTATCTTAACTATTACTCTTGTAATTTTATAAAATTTTGGATCAGTAATTGTTGACCTAACAAGCTTTGGAAAAACCTGTAAAAATGTGGTTTTGCGGAATTTCCAAATGAAAGTCTTATATGCGGCTGCTGGTAGATTGAGGTGTCAAAACAAACAACAAAAACAAAAAGCCTGAATGCTGAAACTCTTCCCCAAACAGTTGCTGTTTCTTCATCCAAAAAGGCCTCTAAAACAGTTACCACAGACAAGTATAATTTGGGATTGGTGGCTTAATAATTGTTTGGGTCAGCAGAGATTCCCAAGACTTTACAGAAAGTCCCACAAAACGCAGCCACAGACTGCTTTAGAAAAAACTCAATTAAGAAAGGAAATCAGTCTCACAATTTAAAAAAAAAAGAAGAAAAAAAAAAAAGCAACCCACAACAGTGGAAAAATGAATATATACTTTCTTTTCTATACTTGTGAGGGGAGGAAAAAAAAATCCAAACCCTGGTGAGATAGTCTTGACTAAAAGAAACCCATAAGTAAGGTTACTGGAACAGAGTGTTAATAGTTTCCATAAGACRGAAATGCAGCACAGGAACTGAGGTGTTTATCACTTTGTTCATTTCTGGGCCCTTTGCTATGGTCATCAAGCCTCCTTTAATCCTGTCAAACCTTACTTAGAGGACAGTTTTTCCAACAAAAGACACACTATGTCCGTGTTGGTTTGCTGTAATGTCTGTTTTTAAAATGGTAGTAAGAGATTGAAGCTCACTTGATTGTTCTCAATTTATGTGAAGTAAGCATTATCAGTCAATACTATGGCATAATTTGAATATGCTAAAACACTGTAGCTCAAACATAAACCATCCTGCTAATGAGAGAGGAATTTCATTCACAGTAGGTAAAGGATTTGTTTCACTTATGTTAATATTAAGCACGTGATTAAGTTCTGCTTTCACGTAGTTTGCAGTTAGATTTTSAACCTAGCTGATACTAACAAGGTCCTTCAGCATGAAGGGTGCTCCCAACATACTAATGTCTTTGTAATGTTGTGGGATAGCAGTGCTGAGGGACTTTGGACGTGTGGCAGAAACGGGAATTCACAGGTTCTGTATGCCTCTGTGGGCATCTGCATACTGTAGCTTCCTACTTGCAAACTGGTGATTATTTTTTTGTTGTTGTTGTTGTAAGATCTATGAAGTCTTTGAAATTTGTTTCAAGCACTGTTCCATCAGTGTTTGGGGCATTAAAAAAAAGATCACAGAGCTTTCTTCATTGCTGGGATCTCTTGTTATATTACAGTATAAATAACTATTGTGTTAACAACAAAAAAAAGTCACAGATTAAAATACTAGCTTTTGTAAATGAAAGGAAGGAAAGAACCAGTATACAAATGCTCATTTTTTCCCATTTGCTTTATAGCCTTCTTTCAGAAATATGTTCAGTTACAGCATAAACAGTTTGAAGATGAATTGAGCAGAACAAAATAATTCTCGTGTTACTGTGACCAAATCACCCAAGTTTATTTTATTGAAGCAAAGTTACAGGCCATGTATAGTTCTAATGTCTTGCTATCTTCAGTTCCCTAGTAGGGTGTGTAAGGAAGCTGTGTGTCTTTCTGAAACCTTATCAAGGAGGGGCTAACAAGCTTTTGCTGCTCAGACTCCAGTATTGCTACCACATTAAAAATAACCTTTATAGCATTTGCTTTGCTGTYTTCTCTTCCAGATCAGATGAAGACTTTTTTAATATCCCTGCTAGAAAATTAGCCAGGGACTCCCCACATGTCTTTTGGAAATAGTTCTTTGCAACAGAGACAGAATATCTTCAAACAGTAGTAGTGAACAGTGGTCATCTTCCTATCAAGGAACAACTGACACAAATCTTTACATTTGCTTTTAAAAGTTTTCCTATTTGCACACTTATTATGCTTCTATTTTGCAAAATATTAAGGTTATTTTTTTACCTTACTCATGTATTCTTAGGRATCCAGAGTCCTGAAGTGAGAGCCAGAAGATGAGAGCAGCTACGGCTTTGCTGCTGTGTGAATACGTACAGTCTAGATTTAAAAAAAAGAGGCTAATAGTTTTGTGAAAGGGCACTTGCTAATTTCCATACCCTACTGAGCATAATTCAGCACTTAGAGCCAAATTCTGCCCTCTGCGCACACTTGGCTCTCATTTTTGCCTCAGGCATGTGCATCTGAGATCAGTATTTGGCTTTTATTTCAAACAGACAAGTAAAGAATGAGTAATGGATGCATGTTTCAAATTGAGCAAATGGCGTAAATGAAATTGCCATATTTAATTTAAGAGTAAATCATTTTTCTTTGGAACTTGTCATAAAGTTATAGCATTCTGGTCTTGGTTTGACYGTTTTGCTCCCACTAGAAGTAGGCATTTAACTTGACTGGAGCTTTTGCTGCTTGCCTGAGATACCTGAGAAGTTGCTATTAGTTTCCATTGTCTTGTCAATAAATGACAATCCTGAGACAAGTTCACTCGTACATCTATCCAACTGAATTCTGCCATTTTGGGAAATAGATCTTTAGAAGAGGATGTTTTCATCTTTATTCATTTTTATTTTTTCTGTTGAACTTGTGCTTTATTTTGAACTAGCTGTGTCACATGTACTCATATGGAAGCACGTATATACATGCATGTGAAGTGGCTTGCAGTGAGCCAGCAGCAGAAGTTAGGGAGTCTGCCTCTAGTTTTGGAGGCTTTTTATGCWCTTTCCTTCTCTGTGGGATTTCCTGCCTTTCTTGTTATGCTTTTCCTAGTTCTCTGGTGGTACTGAAAGGAAATTCTTCAAAGAGCATGGAGTGCTGGACTACTGCCTTGGCAGGAGGAGCAGAGGCTGCACAACAGGATGGCTGTTTGGCACAGCCCTGAGCCGGGAGGTGGAAATACTTTTTCCTTACCAGCAGTGCTCTCGTTCCTCATAGAGGGTAGGATAGGCCAGATGGAAGCATAGACTAGATTCAGCACAGAGGACATCAGTTSCTGCTGTCCTCAGCCCAGAGGACATTCCATGCTGCTCAGGAATTAAAAAAACTGCATGTTGTATGTTCAAAATATTTTCTTGTCATTGCTAGTCAGATGCCTGGAAATGACAATTGCTATCCAGCATTATACTCTCAAAATGAGTTTTTATTCAGGTTGCAAAAAAGAGGAAGAAAGAAAGGAACTGTGCTTGCAGATTCAACTTTTTAAGTACGTTGTTTTTTTTCTTTCCCCCTCTCCTTCCTCTCTATCTTCCCCCATGCCCGACTCTCCCAGCCATGAAGACTTTGAATTTATATCAGGGACCCGCATGCGCAAGCTGGCTCGAGAAGGACAGAACCCGCCAGAAGGCTTCATGGCTCCCAAGGCCTGGACTGTGCTGACAGAATACTACAAATCTTTGGAGAAGGCTTAGGCCTCTTATTAACTGCAGATCAACCTTTGACGCCTGATTTATTAACAAGAAGGGGACCACACAGTCACCATTTGTGTTACTTTGTTGTGGTGTCTGCCAGGAAGTTTTTCTCTGAAAACAGACTCTTTCTCCCTAACTTAGCATCATTCTTTGCTGTCCTTATGGATTCTATTATGTGCTGGCACCTAACTAACTGCTGGTTTTAATGTCTTCTCTTTTATTACAGTTAATATTCTTGCAGTAGGATTTTTAACTCTTGTCTTTTTTATATTTTACTGCCTCTGTCCTTCGAGTTCTGCAGCTGTTAAATTGATGCAGCTTTTTCACATGTTATTTAAGCTGTTGGTTAGTTTTCGGTTTTAGTAGTTTGTTGGAAAAAATGTAACGGTTAGATCCTTTAAAATGAATACATGCTCTATAAGTGAAGAAAGTAAATAAGAAATATTTAGTATACTTTAACAATAATTTTAAATCTTATYAGCATCTCCAGAAACATCTAACTTTAATTCCTTGCTATGTATAATCAAAAAGCAGAGTTCTATATGCAGTGTAATTAAACTATATTTTTTGCTTTTATTTTTGTTTCTTTGTTCAGTTTTRGAGTTTGAGTTGTCTGGTGCTTTCCTTTTACTGTGAATCAGTAAAGTTGGAGAAGATGGTCAAGTGTTGACTAAAAGAATATATCTAGTTTCCCCTTTTAATAGATAATGAATCCAGAGTTTTTAAGGTCTTTTTCTTATATATGCTTGTTGACATGGATGTAACATCTAGTCAGTAAGGGAATGTTTTACTAATTCGATTTAACTTTTGCCAGTATTGGGTGGTGAATATACTTGTTGAGCCAACTGCAATTTAAAAATAATGTAGGAGATATTGGACACAAATCCGTAGATTTGCACGTTATGAAGTCATTTTCACCTTTTGAAATGAAATCCAGAAAATAAGTGGGAGTGATGAACAGTAATATGAATCATCCTGTAGAGTTAGTTTGGAAGCAGTAATGTCTGCAGGCAAATTAAGAGTGGTGACAAGAAATTCTTAGCTGATGCTGTGCTGAGGCTCTGTTGTGATAGCACTTCTTGAGACCTGCCCTTGAGGGACTCTGTATTTAAGAAGCTTTCAGGTTTTTCCTAATCTTAGACAATAGCCATGACACTGCCAGTATAATGGTGAATAAGAACAGGAGAGGAGCACATGGTTAATTTGCAGGCAGGACTTGCTCTGGGTAACAGTATTTTCTTGTGGCATGTGCAWTTTCACTGTACAGTTCTCATTTTTCCTTCTAACTGGCTCTTTTAAGGAAATTGTACTTAACTGAAAGAGCTACCCTAGAAATAATTTCTTTTTCCAGTGTCTCCCTTTTCTCTGGGGTTCCTTTAGTTTCTCTTAGTGGATAACAACATTAGTTGGCCAATCTTAATGTTGTTTCTCATAGTAGGTTCACCTTAATAAGGTGCTATGGTTTTTGAGGCTATTATTGGATGTCTTCCAGGAGAAAGCAACAGGCCTAATGAGGTAATGGTGGATGTACCCAGCCTATCTTCACATGTGTCTTTCCACACCTGCACTTTCTCCAAAGGAAGAGAAATAATCTGAAGGACATTTAAAATGTTCCTTTTCACTATATTCTAYAGCTGCCTTGATCTTCCTTACAAACAGTCCCTTCCCTGCTGCTCGTGCACAGCATAAAATGACTATTATCTATGCTTTTTGTACAATCCCAGGATGATGGTTGACTTCTAGATGATCATTTTGATGTATTGGACACGTGATGTACAAAGGTAATAAGACTTGTGATCCRTATAATGCAAGGACGATGTGAATACAGCTTTCCAAAATACAGGAGGATTAATGAGGTAGGTGGAGATCACCAAACTCTAATCCTTGGACTTAAGTAAGTGCTGCAAAATTACTGCATTTCCTAGGTGAAGTGATTTGGTCCAGATGACTCCGATTCTCCTAGTACATATGAGCAACTTGAGGAAAAAGTTGAGTTTTTTTTCTAAAGAATCCCAAAGCTAATATTGTGTGTGTGTGTGTGTGATCCATATGCTGATGTTTGATTATCATGAATATTCAGAGTGATATTTCAAGGCAGGATCTGAGGATTAGGATGGAAAAATAGTTGATGAATGCTGAAGTTGCTGGCTTCTAGCTGGTCTTTCTAATTATTTTTCAGCAGAGGACCTAAACACAACCAACTCGGTAGTACAGCAGACATAGGAAATGCAGAACGAGTAGGTCACTTTTTTTAGACACAGTTTGGAGATAAGCAAGCTTCTACATCTGGAGTAATTCAATAAGAATCAGGAGGAGGTAGAAAGGAATTGAAGTTTTGGATGTGGGGTGGAAGAGGGTGGGTGTAGAAATAGAACAGAGCTATCATGGGGCTGTGTAGCCAGTACTGTGAGTGGTTTGAATGTGAAATTCCCTTGCATTTTTTTATTTTCTTAATTTTCAGCAAGCTACGCAGGTGGAACACGTGGAGGTTTAAACTTTGTCAGTTCGTCAGGATTGCTGTAGCATACAAAGTAGTCCGAATCCATTTCCTTTCCTTAAGGATTAAAGGTGTTAATCAAGATCGTCTTCCCTTTTTAAAGCTAACAACTTCAAAGACTAGTTTGTGTGTGTCGCTTTCAGAATTTACACATGCTTCTTGTGTCTCCACACATGAACTTCTAAGCCTTTATGCTAGACATTGTAGGAACAGAGAACAAAGCTCTCATCTCTGGTATAAATTAGCTTCCCTGTGAGTCAGAAGACAACTTTACAGCCTCCATGGCACAGTCTCCAAAGATAGGGAATGGAAAACTCAGGGCTGTTAATACAGGGGAATCCACAGGAGAAAATGAGATGGAGTTTGAATCTGTGTCCGACTTTGAAGGGATGTCTGTCTATCCTTCTACAGGGGCTGGATTTACTGTGATACCTGAACACTGGTAAGAGGTGTGAAGGAATGGTATTCCAGTCTGCAAAGCTGATGCAGAATTCCTTGCTGCCAGTAAAATAATTGAGACTTTAGCCTGGAGCAAGTTAGCTATGAATGAAAAGCATCTTGAGAGCTCTGGAATTAATACTTTGTTCTGGCTTATGAATTGATCCTGGGAACTTACCAAAACTACTGACTTAGATGTTGTGAAAAAAAGAGCGACACTAATCCCATTTCTTTCATATTTAGAGTTTTTATAAGACAGATTGGATAGGTAGGTTGCCACAGGTAGCTTTAAAGCCTGTCATGGCCAATTTGTTGGATATGGGAGTTCTCTGATGGCAGGAAAGCAACTGGCAGGGAAATAAATGTGATTTAAAGGAAGGCTTTGCTAAGGTTTTTCTCCTCAACTATGTTGTTTTACCTTGAAGGAAGCCTGAGGGCTGGARTAGCAGGGCCTCTCTTAAATTTGCTTTCTCATTTTGTGTCCGTATACATGCACATACACAAAAAATGTTTTGATTATGAATAGAGCTGTGTTTTTAAGCTGGGCTTTTGAAGTGTTCATTCCACACTTGAACACATGAAGGGTTTTCGTTGTGTCTCCTGCAAGCTTTGTGTCTGTTCCTGTGATATTAGGATTTTTTTACCTGTATCCCTTTTCATTTTATTTGGTCTGTATTAAAATAACTTTTTCCTTTGTGGGAAGGTGTATATGTTCATGAGCCAGAATCATTCCTGCAACATCTCCAGAATTGTCTGCCATAGACTCATCTTGATATCATTTGGAAGTTGAAGGGGGAACGAACCTCACTGAAAACTAGAAAACAGAGCTTTATAGTCACATCTGGAATTCTTAGGTAATAAATGGGCCCAACTTAAAAGAAGTAACAGTTTTTATATGCCATAAAATTGAAGGAGCTTTGCATACAGGTTAAGGACCGTCACCTGAACTTCATGTTAAAAGCTRACACCACCACCCTTTGAAGTACGACTGTAGTTGTAATGCTACTTGTGTATGTGTCAAAGGAGGGTGCATCCTCATTTTCAGTGGGGTGCAAAGAGTGCCTGAGTCTTTTATCCTCCACAAACAGAGCGGTTTAGCCTGTAGAACACTACACTCCATCTAAATTGTGTGTAATTTTAAAAAGAAGAAAGAATCAAAAGACTTCTTGGTATTCACACGTCAATCTCATAACAGCAGTTACAATGTCAAGCCAAAGGCTTGCRGTTCAGGTTGCAAGTTTTCGATTTCTTTTTTCCTGAATACCTGCAGATCTTGAGGCTTTCTATCTCAGTGACCAGTTTGAATTTCTGTGGTCTAAATCAATTTCTGTCAAGATTGATGGAGCAAAAAGACTCCTTGACTTTTAAACATGGGGATAAAGTGTTGTCCACCCTAGAATGGTAGACTGCTGTCTTGTTGTCTGTGGAAGGTTGTTTGCAGGACTGGTTATAAAGCAATGGGTTTTTCTTTCTAGAATGTGAACACTATATTCTACCATCTGTGAAAATGCATATTTTGATCATTTGTTTCATTGGTTTCCAGGCAATGGCACAGACAATCATGCATCAAAACCATGTTTAATCATGTTTCTTATATTTCTTCTGGGGAAAATTTAGTACTATTGCAATGTAAATGATGATAAAATATGAAGGATCTGACATGATTAAATGAACAAAAATGTGCCTTCATTTTTGTTGACAGCAGAGCAATAAACATGCCATCAGAACTGACGTCAAAAATTCTGTTCAGAATGCAAAGTATTATTGACCCTTAATTAGAGAGTTATTTATAGCTCCTTCCTTCATTATTTCTTCAAGAGAAAAATACTGTTTCTGAAAACTGAAAATGTTTGCCTTTCTTGTTGGCTAGACACACTTTGAATAACAGTGATTCTGTTTTTACTGTTTTGCTACAAGTTTTTCTAATTCATATTCCTGAGCTCCCCTTTGAAAGGACTTCACAAAGAATAATGCATGTTTAAAGCCTTTTCTTTGTCAACATCCTCGTCTTTTAATTATAGTAATTTGATCACTTTTCCCCTTTGAAAAAAGTCTGATAATGGTCAGTCTTACAGAGATTGGGCACAAAAGCTTCACCTAGGGAGGAAGTGTAACTCATTTTCTTTCCATACTAGCCTTTGGCTTAGTTCTTTCCTTTACTCATTTTGGGTGGAATTCTCGTGAAAAACTTTGTGCCTTTTCTGTAACTTTTGTTGGAATATGGATTCAAAGTCTTTCGTCAATGGATTTCTGGAAAGAAATAGGCAGCTGTTTTTTCACATTTTAGTGTGCTTAAAAACAGAATTCCTGATGTACTCAGTTTCTTACTTGCAGATACAACTTGATGGATAGGAACTTGCATTTTTGTCTCTTAAACCCAGACAGTTGTGTCTTTAGAGTATTTTGCTGAATATTTGCAATGAACTGAAAATAATGATCTATTTAGACCAATCCTCTGTAGGAGAGTTTCAAACAAAGACGATTGGTCTTTTTGTTTAGGCATTCTAATTGACTTTCATTTATACATAAGCTGCAGCAGCTTCTCATTTCAGGCTTTCCTACATAACCACATAACTAATAAAAGAGAATTCAGCCTTTTTGTCCATTTTTGATTTAACTGTTATCCAACAAACATGTTTTTCATGGAAAGAGTGCTGAGGAAGTAGACAGCTTTCCATGTGGATTTCGTGAAGCTGACTCTGGAGGGCATCAGCCTAATTTGAGTCTTCTTTTTTTTTTTTTTTTCTTTTAAATGTGAGCTTAAAGACTTTGACTGAAGAGAAACATGATTGTGTGGAGAGTCTGCAGGGTATGTGCTAACTTTCTCTTTCCAACTTTTAATCACAAATGTAATACATGAAGTCTTTTATTTTGACCAGAGAAGGATAAGTCGCTCTATTCTGAAATTCAACGGAATGGGAGATTTAGAAGTAACAAGCTTACCTTACCTAGCCAAGTGAAAACAAAACTGTAGGCTAAGAGGTTTTTTTAATCTAATGGCTTACAAAATGGTTGTACAACTAGAAAAGTTCTGCTCACCAAAACCTAGAAGACTGTGTGCCTGCATGTATCCCCAGGAAGGCTCTCACAATGGTGGAGAATTCCAGCATTGACGATAACTCTCTGCAATGGATTCACCATCCMTTGCATGGTTACTATGGAATCTTAAATGTCTGCTCAACTCCCAAGTGCTGTTTTAATAAAATGTATGCCCATAGTAAATTCCACTCTTGCATCTTTTCTTCTTTTTCCTCATAAAAGTATTGTTATTGTTTCAGGCTGGAARTGTTCTTGTACTTGAACGTGACAAGGGAGGCATCACAGTTTACTAGGGAATTCTTTCAGTTTAAATTGTCAGCTGTGAAAAATATGGGAGAAGTGGCGGCAGAGTGTTCTGTGACAGGAGTTTGATTCTGGTCTGGGTGTGTACACTGGTGACTGCAGTTTTTCTGAAGTTGTAGGCTACTACAGGGCTCAGTTTGTTAGCAGCATTAGTCAGCCTATAAGCTTGCTTTTGTTATCTTTAATGGTTCGCTTAATGATGTAGTCTGTGCACAGTTCTGAGAATTGAAGCTCATAAGTTCTTAAACTATTACGCTAAAATTGCTAGTAAGTTTTCATTAATTTTCATGTATTAAAAATTGTAGAGTACAAATGCTTTTTTTTGGGGGGGGGGGGGGGGTGTTGAGGAAAAGCCACCACCTTGTGATTTTATGCGCTCTGTCGTGGCACAAAATTACAAATAAAGGATAATAGGAGGTGGAGGTGGATGAGCACTTCCTGGATGATCACCTTGCCTGGCTGCAGCTGCTCTTGGTGGAACACCATGTGGCAGTGTAAGTGCCAAGCCCGTAGAAGGGATTTGTGTGAAGTCTGGAAACAGGAGCACAATTTTTGTAGTGCTGTTTTTGGTGTTCTTTTCCCCTTTCTGCTGTGCTATGATACTTTACTTAGATTCTTAGATACTTTGTTAGTATCTATGATTAGGAAGGCTGCTAATGAGGAAAAATAATGAGCTATTTCAAAGCTTAGGAGGCACAGAAGAGATGAKAACTGGGCACACTTTAGCTGCACAACCTTGGGGAAAAATACTTAAGAAAAGTAGGAGCTCTGTATTAAACTTTTAATATCTTTTAATGATAGTCATCTCTTGAACTGTTCTGCCAATTGCTCTGTGTTTTGGTTTCTGTAATACCTATCTGATGAGCAATATGATCAAAGAGATTATACTTTGTTTGCCATTAATCTCTTGCACAGGCCCTGGTGCTTTGGTGTTTCAAGATAAAGTTATAAATAGGGAGAGCCTCCTAGTTTGCAATGTGATACAATTAAGCTGCATCTGGTAGCACTCATTTGCAGAATGTTCACAGAACTGTTCTAACATCATCCATTGCACTGATGCGCAAAMTAGGAACTAATCAAAAAGGCAAATTCATCACAGGCTCCGTTGGAAACAAAGAGCAAAAGAAAAGCCTGCTGTTCTCCAAGCAGAAACACACCAGCCCTGCAATGGTGCTAGGGGACGGGAAACATTAAAACTTCAAACCAACATAGATAAAAGAATAAAGGAATTGAGTTTTAACTAATATTAGCCTTAATCAAGGTTCTTGGTTAAAGGGTTGATTGCCTAAAAGCTGCAAGATTGAGCTTGCTGGAAGAAYCAAGTATCGTTATTCTTTGTTATTAAGATAATTTTCAATTATTCTAGAGCAGCTAAACTTAGTTAAATTGACTAG